GTAAGTGAAGGGGATTTTCTGCTAAACAGAGATTATTATAAACGCTATAGGTACTGACTGACAGCCAGTTGAGTTTCGGGGTGGGTTTTTTTTCTTCTTTTTCCACTAATCTAACCGGATCACAGCTAGCGGTTAGCGCACCACCAGTTCTCTGCGCAGACAGAAGGAGGTACTCATTTCCGGAATGCAATAGTCCCATTTCCATATAAGGTATGGGACTGACGGAAAGGTCTGTCACCGCCCCGAGCTGCATGCTGCAGCGAAGTGTACCTCGCAAAGCTTACCGAACGAATACATGCAGCCGCCTTTCATGTCAGGCTGTGACGTCATATAGGAGCGACACACTGAAAGTTGTTCTTCTTCTGCTCACAGCGACACCTCTGGACACATCCAGTACTGCAGTGTCGTTGGCTTTATCTAAACAGAAATACAAGTACTTCTAGGTACTTTTTGTTTGTTTTTCTACTAAAAAAAAGTTTAATCAACATTTTTTTAAATCCATGTATTGTTCGTTCTTTCATTTTTCTACGATGGTGTATTAGGGCCACTTTGAAATAAAAACGAAGGAGAAAATCTCGGTCAAAAGATTTTTTTAGATTAATTTCAGAAATTTTCAAGAAAAAAAAAAGTAAATTCACTGAGCTCCAAAATTCGGAAATTTGCTAAAAAAAAAAAGAACTCAGAAATTTCCATGATTAAAGGCAGACATATTTGACATTTAAATAAAATATTTGCTGACGTTGTAAAGTCAGAAATTCAGAATTAGGTTTATTGGCCAAGTATGTTGACACCGGCTGTTCGTGTCTCTCTAGTATTAACTAGCCTACGTATTATTAAATAAGAAACAAAAACTCGTACGTTTATGAGAAGAAAAGAAACTCACATTGAGCATCTGTAATCTGCTATATTTTAAAACTAAAACACACTGAGACTTCAAAACTGGACTAGATTATAATCTACACACTGATAGAATATTTAAAGTGTGTGATTTGTGAAGTAGGGCGGTTTCAGCAATTTTTATGTATTTTATGAACAAACTGAGCATGGCCAGATTAGACTGAATGAATGAAGCAATCTATGCACTGCAAAAACTGTCCATCTTGCCAAGTTTTAAAACCTTATATCAGCCAAAAAGTCTTTTTGATCTTGTTTTGAGACTGATTTACTAAACAAGAACTGATTGTGTAAGAATAATCATCTTGTTTTCAGAATGTGTAAGATTATTTGTCTTGTTAGTCTGAAAATTTGACTCAAATTAAGTCAAATTTCTGCCAGTAGAGTAAGAAAATTTTACTTGGTAAGATTCTTGAAATACTTGATTTGACTCAATTTTTTCTTATTTCAAGAATCTTATCAAGTAAAATTTTCTTACTTCATTGGCAGAAAATTTTGACTTAATTTGAAACAAATTTCCAGCCTAACAAGACAAATAATCTTACACATTCTGAAAACAAGATTATTATTCTTACACAATCAGTTCTTGTTTAGTAAATCAGTCTGAAAACAAGATCAAAAAGACTTTTTGGCTGATATAAGATTTTAAAACTTGGTAAGATGGACAGTTTTTGCAGTGTGCATCCAAAATAATGGAGTTCATAATAATTTTCAAAGCTCGAAGCCGCGCCGTCAATTTACCGAACTTGTGGGGACACTTCCTGTTTCGATAACCGCATATTTCAAAATAAAGCCTATGAATCATTTGAGAAATTATTTTTTTCTGTCAAGCACTTTATGCTACTTGATGTTCGTGTCTGCGAAAGGTGCTGTGTAAAAAGTTTAATTACTTTTCAGGGTTTGAAAACCTTGAAAACGTAACACGCCAGAGTTCATGCCATAATGATGACTTCCGGTTGCACTAACAAAAGTTGTCTTTGCACGACAATAAAAGCCTGCTTTGCCACTGTCGTCTTTCTAATTCGGTTTTAACACAAAAATCTAAATAAATAAAAGAATAAATAAAACACGTTTTATTTTGAAACTGAAAAACGAAAGAACGAACCAGACATTTTATAATTTGGCACTAAATAAGTATAGTATACAGACTTGAAAATAACATGTGAACACACATGTAAGTAACGCACACAGGTAGTGAAGTTATTTGCATGCATTCTCCATTTTCTGTAACATTTGTAAAGTTTTATTATGACTCAGTCACGTGATACAGACTCCAGGCTCCTGAAATGAAAGCGAAAGTTTCCTGAATCTTTATCACCGTGCTGCCAGTGCCGAACCAACAAGAACAACCTGGGACCAATGAATAATCACTATGAGTCGACTGATGGGGAATTTCGCTTACTTTTTTATTTTAGCAGGTAAGTTTAATTGTTATTACTGCAGAAACTGGAGAGTAGTTTCTGATTAGTCAGCAGTAACACTATCCAGCCCACCCCCTCAGAAACTCAAGCTTTGCTGTGGTAAATATACATTGTGTGTGTGTTTTCAGGTGTGCACTGTGTCCAGCAGATCCAGTGGCTGCCCTGTCAGTTCACTGATGAACAGGTGACGAAGAACGAGGAGGGACATTTTGACACCCAGCTCATCCACAGACAGGCCATGCTGCAGTTTGGTCAAAAAGGAGACGCTCCTCTTAATCCCCACACCATCACCTTCCTGATCACAGGTAAGCTAGTGAGATCTGAACGTCGGGGAGGGTTGCATCAACAATGATTAAAGTCTATTACTTCTAATTTTGCTTTAGGATCCAAGCTGGACCTTCGGCGATACGTGGAGCAGGTGGAGGCAGAGCAGTTGGAGTGTGAGCTGCGTAGATACAGCACAGAGGGCATCCATGTCCACTGGCCTGGTCAGGAGGCCAAGGAGTACAACCGCTGGTTCACGTGCACTCTCAAGCACAATCAGGGGCTTTTCACTGTCACTGGCTTCCTCAGACATCCATCTGACCATGCTCCACCAGGACAGCAGGACTTCCGCCGCTGGCCTGCTATCTCTGATACAGAGAAGCTCACTACAGCAGGTAAACTCAGTGCGTACATTTAGTAAAAACAACCCACACTTCTTTAATTCTAGGGGTTGACAGATCAGAACATAATAAAAATCATCTTGGGCCAAATGGTGCATTTGCACATGCAACAGATACGGTAAATGGCCTCAACTTTGTGTAGCACTTTTTTAAGTTCAATTCAATTCAAAAACCTTTATTCATTTCATTTACAAACAAAACCAAAAAAAAATAATTAAACACAACAAAAAAAAATACAAATCCCAATTGAAATGAAAGGAGGCAGAGAAGAAAAAAATTCTTAAATCTGCCCCTTCTTCCAAAATTAATTTCAAGCAATAATAATCAAGAAACAAAACAAAAACTTCAATTTCTTCTCAAACAACAACTTTTGATA